TTTTTTTTGATATTTATTTGAGATTCTTTGAATAATCAATTATTTTAATATTCTTTCACATTAAATAACAATAATTAAGAAATGAAGAATTAATTTACTAATAATTGGTCACATAAAGAATTAACTTGTTCTAATGAAATTGAGTTATGTGGATTATTGGAAATGTAAGAAGTGTCATTAATTTTTTTATTAAGAGAATCCATTCTTTTTTTAACTTCATCAAATAAGTCATTAATACTAATTGAGTTTGGTTTTATTTCTGACACTCCTTCCATACCATTAAGTGCTTTAGTTAAACAAGTAATACTTTCTAAAAAATAACCAGTGACATATTCTTCTTTAGCTTGTTCTTCATTTTTAATTCCCTCTACTATTTGAGAGATAGTAATATCATGAAATTTTGGCATAACAAATGAAACTCCTTGTTGTTTTTCTATTGCTGAAGTATTAATTTCAATAGTAACTGGTTTAACTGTTTGTCTAAATATTTCTTTTGAACGTTCTAATATTTCTTTACATTGATCAAGTATTAATTCAGATGGTTCAATACATAATCGAACTGCAATTTGATCAATACAATCTGCAACATCATTACAGAGTTGACCACCACGTTCTCTCATTACTAAACCAATTCCATTAACAATTTGAGCTGCTATAAATTTACTTCCTTTAATAAATTTTTCTTGATTTGATTCAAGAACTTTATTAATATTTCTTGCAATACAATCACAATTATCACAAAGTGTTTCTGAAGCATCTAATAAAATGATTCTCATAATGTTAAATGTTTGTATTAAAACTTCTTTTATACCATCACATACATTGCTATACGACATTAAACTCATTTTATTTGAGAAATTTTGAGTAATATCTTTTAGTTGTTCTAATGGGTTTTGTACCATATCTTTTATATTTTCATGTACTAAATTACTACACTCTCCTTCTACAATAGCATATAATTTAATAATTGGATCATATAAACATTTTACTTCTTCTGTGATTAACTCAATTAATTGTTTCTGTTTCTCTGGTTCCATCTTTTTTGAATGGTTTTCAATTATGTTCAATGTACGTAGACATATAGTTCCATATTCACAAATATGAACTAAAATATCTTGAAAAGATCTGTGATGATCATTTCCTAAATCTAAATGAAATCCTTCTATATTAATAACACTTTGTATGTTGTCGTAATTCATTCCTTTCTTTAAAGTTCTTTTTCATTTTAAGTTTTTTTTAGTTCTAAATATTATTTTTCCATTCAACAAAAATTCAAGTTTTGTCTTTCAATTTGTTTTTTTGTATTTTTGTTTTTTTTTACATATATAAAACACAAATAATATTATTAAATGTTATAAATAACGTTTATATCAAAAACTTCAAAAACAAAACTAAAAAATTAAACAATGAAACGCATAAATGAACTAATACTTAGGACTGTTTGACTATTGTCACTTTATTCAGTAGAGATAAGTCACTCATATGATTTAGGAAAGCATTCAATTTGAAGGGGATGTTTTTGAACGACTAATAATACAGAGAAGTATTCCAAGAGAATTTTATGATAGTGTGAGTTATGATGAGTATGTTCATACAAAAAATAGTGAAGAAGCTCCAACACAAAAACGATCAAAAGAAAGTCAAAAGAATAAGAAATGTTGTAAACAATATGTAAATAAAAAAGAAATATTGAACGAGCAAGAAGACATAAGTCTTTTTGATGGATTAAACAATGACGAAAGTAGTAAAAGTAGATTAAGAGATGTTAGGAAAAGAAATAAACTTAATGAAGAAAGAAGGAAAGACATAGAGAAGATAACTCAAAATAATTATATTATTCAAAACTTTGAAGATCAAATTGAGAAAAAAGAAAATGATAATAATAGTAATAATAATGAAAATGATAGTTCTACTGAATTAGAATATTTTAATTGCATTGATTCTTCTAAAGAAAAAAAGCCAAGAAAAAAAACACCTAAAAAGAAAAATGTTAGAGAATTTATTAAATCTTTACAAAACAAAAAAACTAAACGAAGTTATAAAGAACAAATTAAGTATTTTGAAGAAATTGAAAAACGAGTAAACCAACAATCATTAACTAAAGTTTATCCTCATTTTCAAAAGAAAGAAACATCTTTTATTCAAATAGCCAGTGAACAAAACGACAATAATAATGTAAATGATACTCATGAAATTATTGATTTAAATGTTGATGATGGTATAGATTTAGAAAATAATGAAATTGTTATTAATCGTGTCATTCCTGAAATGTCATTAATTGGAGTAAATGAAATGAAAGAAAATCAAAAGAACTACAGAGATAATAGTAATGAACGGCAATATATTAATATTGATTATATTAGTCATGTACCAGTTTGTAAACATGCTAGAAGTAGAAGTAATAGTAGAGAAAGAACTAAAAGAAGTTATAGTAAAGAAGAGTATGAAAATTATGAAAGAAAAAATGACAAAGAATGTTCAAAGATTTTATTAGCAGATAAAGAAATGTGGGAAGAATTCAAAGAATTTGTAAAATTTAAACAAATGTTACAACAAGAAGAGAATAATAAACAAGAGATTTTTGAAAAAGTATTAACCGAAAGTTATAGAAATAGAAATAATTATAATGATGATAAATGTCAAGCTAAAGATGGCTCTTTATATGATCCAAGTTTTTGTAAAAAATATTCATTATCAGAACAATCAAGAAAATCAATAATAACAAACGAAGATATTAATTCAACTAGACTTATTGAACGAAGAAAAAGAAGAAGAATGAAATATTATTGGTAATTTTCATTGAAAAATATTAAGAAGAAATAATGATATTATAATGAAATAATTTATTTGTATTTATTAAAATAATAAATCCAAATCCCAAGTTAGATTGAAGGTGGTACGTCTGAAACACCACATACAAACACTAATACAATTCAAGCTTCGACTCTCCTACTTATTTTCTGGTTATGATGGTGTATTTGAA